AGCTGAGTTTGTATCACTTTGACTTATCTTGGAATTCTTTACTGCAACCAGAGAATCTCAGCTTTACCCAAGTAAAGGCCCTTAAGATTCCTCAGACTGCACCATCAAGAGTATTGATCCTTGTTTCCCAGGCCACTGTCTGAAGGGTAACTCTGAGGGACATGAAAAGGAACCCAGGATGAGGGCAATAGGAAGATATTAGACTTCCCACCAGATTGCAGCTCAGGGGAACCTGATTCTTCCTTAGGGTCCCCACCGTACTGCCTATTGGTGACTGTGTTGGGGCCAGAACTCTTCAAATCCCTGCCACTCTGTTGTCTGTCTGGACTTCTCATTACTAGGATATTTAAGAGACTTAGTGATTCTGAAAGTCTGGACTGGAAAGTCACTAAAGTTTTTATTTATTTTTTCCTTTTTCTTGTTTTCCTTTCACTCAATCACTTAACTTCAATTTTACAAAAAAGATGCAAAGCATGGGACAGAGCTACTGCAAAGAGTATACATGTATATACAGTCAGAGAAAAATTATACTGGAAAGAATTAGATGGGCAAAAAACTTGTTCGAGATGATTGACATGGGGGAAATGGGGTTCAATTCTTGTGAAGTAAAAAGCAGAAGCAACAGAGATAGCCAATGTGAACTAATGGGAAAATCCCAGAGGGCATTATGGAAGAGGTCAGCTAATGGCTTAGATGTCTGCTTTCCCAGTGTGTGCTGAAGTTAGGCAGAGGCTCTTTCTCTTTCTTAATGACTGAATCCTAAAGGAATGGCTTCCAAGTCTTTGACAGAGACATTCCTAGGGTATACATCTGGAAACAGGCAGAAGATTTATATCTCAAAGGGATATAGAAAGAATTCATAAGCAAGTCTTCAAAAGTATATGTTTTTAAAAACATGAAGGTCAGTGAGCTTTAGTCTGGGAGAAAACTGTCTAAAATTTAGTTAACTTCAAAGGAAGGTTACTACACACACACACACACACACACACACACACACACACACACGTTTCTCATACCATTATGACTCAAGTGAGTTTAAACTGTGGCTCCGGGGAGGCAGATATGACGACATTTTGGTGAAAATGTACTTCTGGGAAAGGTATGTTTGACCTCGTCAATGTTCTCCTGTGTGACTGGTCTCACCTGAGCTCTAGGCTGTGCTTTCACCCTTCTTGTGGGTGCTAAAGGGAAATGTAAAGCATCAGTGAGGACTTTGCTGTTGGGACTGTGAAATGTGAGCAAGCAGCACGCTTTCTCCCAGGCTTCCAGTTCTCTCTCACATATCCTGCTCCCAACTCTGCTGATTACAACATATTAAAGTTTTAGCGTATGTTCCTGGGATTTCCTCCTTGCTTCAGGTATGTTTAACCACTTCTGGTTGAAGTTTCGAAACATATAACTAATATAATTTGTTCTTGGGGAAATAACTCCCCTTTAAGGCATGTTTGCAGTTTTTTTTTTATTTTATAAATATGGGTGTCGTACCTTCATGCATGTGCATACCTGGTGCCCCAGGTGACTACAAGATAGCATGACATAGCTTGGGTCAGGAAATACAGAGGATTATGAGGCACCATGTGGGTTCTGGGAACTGAACTCAAGTCCTCTGGAAAAGCAGCCAGTATTCTTAACTACTGAGCCATCTCTCCAGCCTCACTTAAGACAATTTTAGTGAGAACAAACATTAGCGGGAGTACATAAGAAAGCAAGGTTTCATTTTATTTGACTCATTATTCCCAAATCTACAGAAATTCATGGCAGATCAAACAAAGGACACCATCAACTCCAGCTCTGTATGGTAACTTTCAGGTATGGTAATTTTTCACAGTGAATCTTTTCTGGAAATCTGAGTCACAAACAAGTGACTGTGGTCCAGTCAGTGTTTGCCAGCTCTTCTGTGGAGTACCACAGTTAGGAGATAGCTTGCAATGAAATTTTCTCATTTTAAGCTTTAGATATTTTGGTATTTGGTCTGTATTGACTGTTTCTGTTTGTTTGTTTGTTTTTCATGGACTGAATCAATGGGGTATGGACTTGCTTAATTACTGACTTAATACAATGGTAGTATTCAAGAGTCATTTATGGCCACACAAGAGTTAACAGTGAAAAGCATATCTTAGCCTCACACTCTAATTATAGGCTCTATAATGCTAGAGTTCTAGGCACATAAGCAGAAAATCACTTGGTGCGTTGCCTGGATTTCATGGTGTGAGCATCAGTGATCTTAGAGGAGGTTGGGTCCAGAAACTTTGGAGATTAGTTCATTCTAGAGTTACAACTGACTTTTCTCAGGTTCAATAATTGGTTCATTTGACAAATCACGTTCCTTGAGTATCAATACAGATTTTAAAAAAATCTCTCAAGCTATTTTTATCTTTTTTTGTGGATACATTTTTTCTTTCATTTTTTAAATTAATTAATTTATTTTACATTCCAACTGCAACCTCCCTTGCCCCCTCTTCTCTCACTCCCTCTCCCCCTCCCCTCTGTCCCCCCTCAGTCTACTTTTCCTCCATAATAGCTCAGAAAGGAGCTGGCCTCCCATGGGCTTCAGCAAAGCATGGCGCATCAAGCTGCCATAAGACCAAGCACCTCCCCCTGTATTCAGGCTGGGCAAAGCAATCCAACAGGAGGAAAAGATTACCAAGAGCCGGTCAAAGTACCAGAGACTGCCCCTGCTCCCATTGTAGGGAGTCTCACATATAGAACAAGCTACACATTTGTCATATGTATGCAGAGGGCCTATGTTGGTCCCATGTAGGCTCCCTGGTTGTTGGTTCAGACTCTGTAAGTCCCCATGAGCCAGGCTATGGTTTTTGTGGGTTTTCCTGTGATGTTTTTGACCCCTTAGTTTCCTACAATCCCTTCTCCATCTTCTCAGCAGAACTCCCTGAACTGAACCAGTGTTTGGCCATGGGTCTCTGAATCTGCCTCCATCAGTCACTGGATGAAAGCTCTCTAATGACAACTGGGGTAGTCACCAGTCCAATCCCAGGGGACAACTAGTTCAGGCTATGCTTCTACTGCTGCCAGGAGCTTTAGCTGGGGCCATTGTTGTAGATTCGTGGAAGTTTCTACCCAACTCTGTAAAGCCCCCCACCTTTCCAGTCATCTCTTTCAGCACAGAACCCCTCTGCCTGTCGCACAACCTGATCCCTCCAGTTCCCATGCCCACCCTCCCCCAGTCCAACCAGGAGATATCTTTTATTTCTCCTTCCTAGGGAGATCCATCGTCCCACCTTGGGCCCTCCTATTACCTAGCCTCTTTGGGTCAATGGATTGTAGCATAGTTATCCATTATTTTACAGTTATAGGAAAAGATCTTTACCAACCCCACATCCAACAGAGGGCTGATCTCTAAAATATATAAAGAACTCAAGAAATTAGACATTAAGAAACAAAATAATCCAATTAAAAAATGGGTTACTGACCTAAACAGCGAATTCTCAACAGAAGAATACTCTGTTGTGTAAATGTACTACATTTTCTTCATTCATTCCTCAGTTGAGAGGCATCTAGGTTTTTTTCTAGGTTCTGGCTATTGTGAATAATGCTGCTATGAATACAGCTGAGCAAGTGTTCTTGTGGTGTGATTGAGCATCCTTTGGGTATATGCCCCAGAGTGGTATAGCTGGGTCTTGAGGTAGATCCATTTGCAATTTTCTGAGAAACCATCATACTGATTTCCAAAGTGGTTGTACAAGTTTGCACTCCAACCAGCAATGGAGGAAGGTTCCCCTTGCTCCACATCCTGGTCAGAATTAGCTGTCATCTGTGGTTTTGATCTTATCCATTCTGACAGGCATAAGATAGAATCTCAGAGTTGTTTTGATTTGCATTTCCCTGATGGCTAAGGATGTTAAACATTTCTTTAGGTGCTTCTCTGCCATTTGAGATTTTTGTGTTGATATTCTCTAGTCATATCTGCACCCCATTTTTTAATTGCATTATTTGCTTTTTGATGTCTAGTTTCTTCAGTTCTTTGTATATTTTGGAAATCAACCCTCTGTCAGATGTGGGGTTGGTGAAAATCTTTTCCCATTCTGTAGGTTGCCATTTCGTTGTATTGACAGTGTCCTTTGCCTTACAGAAGCTCTTCAGTTTTGTTATTGAGCTTTGTGTCTCTGCTACTGGTGTTCTATCCTGGAAGTTGTCTCCTGTGCCAATGCATTCTAAGCTATTTCCCACTTTCTCTTCTATGAGGTTCAGTGTAACTTGATTTATGTTGAGGTTTTTGATCACTTGGACCTGAGTTTTGGAGTTGCTTTTTGTTTGTTTGCTGACTTGTTTTTGAGTTTCACTATATAGCACTGGCTGGTCTAGAACTTGCTATGAAGACCAGGTGTTGACTTCAAATTCAGGAATCTGCCTGCTTCTGCCTCCTGGATGTTTGAATTATTTTCAGCTTATATTAAAGACAAGAGTTACTTCTTTTCTCCCTTACTTCTTTTTTTTCTGTGGTGCTACAATTAAATTTAGTACTCTATACATGCTAAGCAAGCACTGTACTAATGAGCTATGTAGCCAGCCTAGTCACATTTATTTAAGAACTAATTTGGCCAGGCGTATGCCTGGAAACCACTTCTTTGTAAATAAAGACAGGAGAATTAGAATTCAAGGCCTGTCTAATTGTATTATGAGACTCTGTCTCATAAAACCAAGGGCTGGGAATGTAGCCCACTGGTAAGGCACTTACACAGCATGGAAAGGTGCTGTGTTAGAGCCTCAGGATCACAACATTTTAGAAAATAAAAGATGGCTTTGAACCCCTCTAAACTTATTTTATTTCATTTACTTGTAAGTTTTTGGTACTGTGTTTACATATATTTTAAGCTTTTCAGTTGAAAACATACAATCATAAACACTATGGGCATATCTGTTCCTCAACACAAAATCTTTTAGAATTACTTCTTTATTCATTTTTACTAAAATATACCTCCCAAAATTAATAAATGCTGATATTGCATTCTCTTCCACACAGCTTTTTTCCCTTTATGAAGATGAATGAAGAACCTATAACTCATTCTACCCTAAATGTGAACTCCCAGCAGAAGTGCAAAGCAAAGAACAATATTAAGAATACATTTCATTCAACTGAATTGTCATTCATTGAGCAGAGGCAAAAATACCAAAAACATAGTAAGAAGCATGAAAACACAGCAGAAGACATCTCTGGTGAAGGTATAATATTGTATTTGATGAATAAGGAGAGATTGTTAAAAAAAATTAAGGTTAGGATTAAGGTTTCTTAAGTATTAGGGAGATACAAAAAGTAGCAAAAAGGTTTCTTACTTTGTGAATTTAGTTAGAAATATGTGGAGACCCAAAAAGGTTTCCTGGTGAGATCTGAGCTTGCTTGACCCAGTAGGGCTGCATTAGAGGTTTGCTTGACCACGTGCCTAGTTACAAGGTGATTGGAAGGGTCTACATTTGGCTGAGCTAGGTCTTTTGCTCCACCCCTTGGCATTCCTATAAATATAAGAGACAGGAGGGGCCGGTGGGTAATGACCCAGGCCCTCCCAAGGCTATCCTGAGTTTCTGTTTCTTTCCCCTCTATCCCTCTAATATCTCTTATCTTTCTCTCCTCAAGGGTTAAAGTTAAAATGAGGTATCAGTTTAGTCTATATAATAAGAAAGACCAAATGGTCAATACCATAACAATTTAAAGAGTAATCTGGATAGTTTAGACATTTCACTAAGTAAGAGTTGTTTTAGCCTTGAATGAAAAAAATCAACTTTTGAGAAGTGAAAAAGGTTGGAACTGAATTCCCTGGCTACAACGTTTTAAGAACTAAAGTGTAAAATAATTACAGGGTGAAGCTCTTTATGGCACTGGGTTTGGGAGTCTTGTTCTGGGTACTGAGAATTTAGTTGGGCTGGTGGGTTTCTGGACAAGGGTAACGTGTAGCAGAGACTCAAGTCTTTATTCTCATTATATCCTGAAACAAACAAAAGATGAATGTATTTCCTTCAGACTTGGAACTCCAAACAAGTTGGATATCAACAAAGATAGATTTTTGTTAAGATTTCTTGTAGTTAATGTATAGGTTATAGCGTATTTATGAAATTTTCCTTTGATTTTCACAGGCTTGTCTTTCCAGACCTAAATATCTGGAATATCCAAGCTTAGATAAAGGAAGGGAGTTTAGGAATTTGAAGAAGCAATTCACAGATTCATATATATATATATTCCAATACATATATCTGAGCTTGAGTGCCTAAGTGCTGGGAACCATATGCCACCTTCATTCTGTCCTACCTTATTTCTTTAAAGACAGGCATATACCCAGTGAAGGATACTGTTAAAGCAGAAAAAGTAGAAAGTGAATTAAGTTTTTCATAGCAATTCAGGTAATCTGAAAACTAACCCCCAAATGAAAAGAAAACAAAAGCCCATTGCAATGAAGCATAAGCCTTTGACACTTGCTTCTATTGAACGTTCGCTTGGAGTCTGTTGATTTTTGCTGATTTCTCCTAACGGGAAATTGTATCCACTCAGTAGTGAGTATTTGGAATAGAATATTGGCAGGCAGCAAAGCAAAGCAAAACAAAACAAAAATATAGATGTGGGAAGCTGACCAAGAGTAAGAGGGCTGCTGTATGGCACTGAAGATCAAGGTGAGGCTAGAGTCTATCATGGATGTGAATCGACCCCAAGCTATTTGCCTGCAGAGAGAAGATAGAATCCATTCAGCTGAGTCTGTGTTATTCAGGCAGACACAGTGAGAAATGCGGGCAGTGGGGCCACCCCTAATTCTGAGCTACATTACTAAGTCTCATCCTTGCACTGTAAACCGTGACATATGTTCATTAGATTAAAGAAAAGAGTCAGGAAATATGGAAGGGAAAAAAGACTGATCAAATGATGCTCCTCTGGCTTCCTAATTCAGGATGCAATCACCTTTACAGGGCAGAATTTGGAGCTAGACCAATCTTTTTCCAATTAGGTTTCAAATTGTATTCTTTTTTAGTTCTCCCCATACAACCTCTTTAGGATTAAGAGGGTGATAGAGAGTAGGGTTTGGAGACCAAACATAGGAATTACAGGCTCAGTTCTATTTGATTATTTTAGCCATAAATGCTACATAAGAAAGCTTTTTACTTTAGTTCCTGTATCATACAAACTGTGAATTATTCACTGATATTTTTGGCTTATTTTTCTCCTGTGGTATTTGTATTTCCTATATTGACTACTGAACTCTGTTTTAAATTAAGGACATTGAAACTAGTTCCATGGAATATTTCAGGTACGTTAGTTTGTCATGTGACCTTTAGTAAGTAAATATATTTCTGTTGTTCAGGCATTTTTACTAACATGTCATTATTTGCTTTAACCCTTGGATGAAAGATATTTAACAGACTTGTCCCATCACCTCATTCCCACTGCCAGCTGCTTTTGATCCCACCCTTTGGTTTCTCTTTCTCAGAGAATTTCTCACCTTCTCCATGGAGGCTCATCTCTAGTGTGCTTGGTGCCATGTGCCTTCTCCTGATGGCTGTAGCCATAGCGGTGAGCGTTTCCACTACACACTGTGAGTGTCCCAAGTGCTTCTCCCTTTTCTCCTTTGGGGCAGACTTGCAGCAACTTACCAAAATTCCTCCTTGGCTGTGGGCACAGCTGGAGCGCTTGTCTGCTATGTGTGAGACATTGGGTTGGATCCTGAGTACCGTCACCAGAAAACAGCAACCAAAACAAAACAAAACTTCCTTTTAAACATTTTCTCTAACATTGCTTATCATTATTCTAGAACAGAGGTTTTTATTGTTTGTTGATGTGTCAAAATAAAAGAAAGAGCCAGGCGGTCATGGTGCACGCCTTTAATGCCAGCACTTGGGAGGCAGAGGCAGGCAGATCTCTGTGAGTTCAAGGCCAGCCTGGTTTAAAGCTGGTCTACAGTTCCAGGACAGGTCCCAAAGCTACACAGAGAAACCCTGTATATAAAAAACTGAAAATAAAATAAAATAAAATAAATATCAAATTATTATGTGGACTTTTTTGTAGTATCTTCTGAAAGAACATGTTCCATGATCCGGCAAAGAGGTAAGTTCTCATTTCCTAGCCTCTGTGGGCAGATTCAATCAGGAAAACAATTTCATTGTATTAACTCCATGAATAGTAGATAGTCTTCAAAAGCAAGATACTTCAGCATAACTAAGAAAAGATTTGACATGGTCCCAGAAATTTAACAACTAACATTAATATGGAACAAAGGTTTTTGTATACCAAACTGTAACAAAATATAGAAACATTGTTGGTGTTATTATGTACCTCTGTATACAGCATAAACAATCTTGCAAGATCTGTGGTTTTGTATGGGAATAGGATTAATGTGAGAACAAATTTTGAAAGAGCAACTTCTCAACAAAAGCAGAATCCAATGATGATGTAAAGGGGTGTTTCCACTCCAAGTGCAGTAGACTTAGGCAAACTAACAGTTCAGCAATGAGGATGGATAGGTCTCAGCAGATGTATGTTCTATGAAGTAGAAAAGGTCTGAAAGTTCAGATAAAAATAGAGCCAAAGATATGTGTTTCCATTTCGTAGTTTTATTATAACCATTTTAGTTATCTTTACAGAATATTGTTACAGTGTATTAAGTGTGCATGCTCTGTGTTTTAAACAAGTGAAAAGCAACACTTGAGTCTGTGAACCTCTTCAGTAGAGTGACAGACACTCCTTCCCTAGGACCTCATCATCCCTGCCCAGAGAACTGGGTCTGGTTCAGATGCAGTTGTTATTACTTCTCCAAGGAAATGCTAAGCTGGAGAGAGAGTCAGCGTGCCTGCTTATCTCTCAATTCCAGTCTCATAAGGATAAGCAAAGAGGAGATGGTAAGTTGCTGCAAATGGGAGTCACAGGGTGCCAGATCCCCAAAGGGATTAACTGGGTTAAACTGGCCGCCACTTACACTTGCTTAAATTTAGCACTGGATCAATGGCTGAAGGATGAAACTGTTCTATCTTTTGTTTCAGTTTTTATGTGCAAAATATAGGATAGAGCTGTGTATTGTATGAAAAAGAGAGAGAGAGTAAAGTAATATTTGGAATTTCATTCATGAAAAAAATATTGAAGCTGGGCCTGGTGACACAGGCCTGTAATCCCATCTTCTTGGGAATCCAAGGCTAGAGCATTAAATATTCAAGGCTACAGAGTGAGTTGAAGGAAAGCCTGGACAACTTAACAAGGCCCCTCCCCCTCAAAAAAAAAGTCTATACACGGTTGAAGAATGTAACTCAGTGATAAAACATTTGTCATACACGTAGGGCCTAAAGTTCAATCCTCAGCACTACCAATAAATAAATAGATAGACAGACACATGTGTGTAATGAATTCAGAGGGAAACTTGTTTTCAGTAATATCTCAGCCAGAGAGATAGGAAAAACAAAAACAAACAAACAAAAACAAAACAACCCCGCATAGTTCAACACAAAGATGACACAGGCATCTTGGTCTAGAATACCAAGTGACAATGTAAATGAATTTTTATAACTCTAACAATTATGTCAGCATCAAGTTAAAGTGTCTACTGTGTGTTTCCCCAACAGAGAGTCTCTTCATTATATACACGAAGGTACCAGAGTAAAGTTAGTCTCCAAGAAAACTATGCAGACTCTTTTAAAAATATTCTCATTTCCTTTCATCTCAAACCGACACTATCCTTTTACTCACTTAGTTTTTTACTTTTTAATTTATTTTTCTTAACTTTTACTCAATTTATTTGTTTATTTTCTGAATCTCCAGTAGGAGCAGAAAAGTTTTACTTTTCATTGCTGAGGTCTGTCTCATAATATAGCATCATTTAGTGAGGCTGCAGACTTCAGACACAGAATAAATGTATACAGAGGGAGTTGACTCTTTCAAAGGCACTTCCATAGAGCTGATGAAAAGATAATGATGGGAACCCTATGTGTTTGTGTTTTTTCACTTTCAGGATTTTTTCAGTTTGAAGTCTTTCTTTTGGGTTGGAATTTACTATGATGAAACTGGGAGACAGTGGCGGTGGGAAAACCATTCTGTTCTACCCTATGAGATGTAAGTATCCACACGGCATCAGGTGTTTAATTTAGTTACGGTGTGAATGAAGGGTTCTGGGTACAATTTCAGCAACATTAGAGAACTGAGGAAACAGACAGTCTTTTATACCCATCCCATGTTCAGAAGAAAGATGCATTACTTTATTCTTTCATTGAGTTTCCCCTGAAAATTTTCTCAGGATCTTCCCCAATAAACTGAAAGAAACTGTGTGGCATAAACAAAAGGCTTTTTATTTTCTTTTTATAGTTTCCCAGCTAGAAGTCTTAGCCTAAGACGTCAGCAGGTCTGAAACTCTTTGTAGATGTAACCGTCTTATTAAATAAGAAATACAGAGCTAATACAGAGATGAAAGCCAAGAGGTCAGAGCAATAGCTAAGAGCTAAAAACCTTACCCTTCACTGTCGCTGTACCTCTCTGAAAGAGACCTACTTCCTGTGTCTGTCTTTTTTTTTTATAGAGTTTCTGTTCTGCCTTCTTATTGGTTGTAAACCCAACCACATGACCTCCTAGTCACTGCCTGTCTGTACAGACCTCCAGGTCTTCTATGGTTGGTATTGAGATTAAAGGCATGTCTCTCCAATGCTGGCTGTATCCTTGAACACACAGAGATCTACCTAGTTCTGCCTACCAAGTTCTGGGATTAAAGGTGTACACCACCACCGCCCAGCTTTCGCTATGGCTTGCTAATAGCTCTGACCCCAGGGCAACTTTATTTATTAACATACAAATAAAATCACATTTCAGTACAAATAAAATATCACTATAGCTCTCCTCAGTTTAGAACTAGCCCTCCTCTCTCTGTCCTTTCACTAATTCCTCTCCTGAAGATGCCGAGTTGCACTAGGGCTTACCCTAATGACTTCATTTTAATTCACTTAAAAAAAAAAGATTTATTTATTCATTATGTATACAGTGGTCTGCCTGCATGTATGTCTGCAGACCAGAAGCAGGCATCAGATCTCATTATAGATGGTTGTGAGCCACCATGTGGGTGCTGGGAATGAACTCAGGTCCTCTGGAAGAACAGCCAGTGCTCTTAACCTCTGAGCCATCTCTCCAGGCACTAATTCACTTATTTCTTAAGGACTCCACCTCCAGACAGATTCTGAGCACTGGAGGTGAGGATTTGTGGTAGCATAATAAACACTCTGCCCTCTTGCTCCCCTAATGCAAAAGTATTTGCACACTGTTCTAAAAGCACCGAGGAGATCTATTCTATCCCAGCACCAATTTTCAGTCGACTGGAGATCTGACTCTCCCCAAGGGAAACCTTCTCTTCAGTGTGAATCTGTGGATCCAAGCATGATTTGTCTATGAGATTTGAAAGTAGGACAGACATATGGGGCACATTTTCCTCATTCTGGAAAGAAGAAGCAGAAACAAATGCACACTGAACCTCAGGCAAACTAGAAACTTTTGGGGAGGCAAAGCTCACCAGTGTTTGTTTTGTTTTGTTTTACTTTAACAGTTGCTTTTATTCTCTACTTTACTTTTAAAACACTACAAGAACTGAGTAACAAAACCAAGAGCAAACTGTTTATAGTCTTGTGTTCACCCATCACTTTATAAAAAGTACCAGCAGGGGGAGATGCTCCTGGAGCTGACGATGAACACACTTCCCTTGCCGATGAACATTATCCTCACACACTTGTCTTGACACCTTCTTTCCTGATTTGGATCCACCACTTCCCCTCCCATCAGGAAGGTTTCTCAGCAGTTTACCAGAAGAGAGAAACAAACGTTCAGGAAATGGTACCTTTAACTAGACGATCAGGCAACTCCTTCTATCTGACTGAAGATAAGTTGACACACCTTCATTTAACACAAAGTTCTTTAGTTCTAAGTTTCAAGAACAACCCTCCTTAGTTCAGCATTCTGTCTCCTGGCCTGTCAGACCAATGACTGCATTATATAGGATTAATGTCATCGACAATATTATCATTAATGTCCTCCAGGGCTTTAATATTCCACTCACCATGAGACTAAACACTGTGGTGCCTAAATGTATATTTATACCACTGGAAACTTTTAATTAGGTGAGCTATCCACAGTCTGTTTTGCTCTATTTTTTTTTTATTGTAGTGTCATGGGTCTAATGCAGGGCCCCAATCCTGCCAGCATCATGCTCCCTCACTGAGTTACACCTCTCAGTCCTATTCACAGGCTCACGTTTTAAAAAAATTATCATTCTAACCTGACAATCAATTGACATCCCTTCCCCATTGACTCTTTCTTCTTAGTTGAAATATTAATTAATATTTACAATTCCATACTGGTTTGATAACTTTGCAGTTTACTAACATCTTAACAATATGAATTATGGGTTATGGAAATCACACAGATTGGATTTTTTAATTTTATATGAAGGGTAACAATTTTGTAGTCTCATGGGGATTTGAATGCCATGTGATTTCTTGATTACAGTGGAATTTCTTTCATTTTAGGTTTTATGATCTTGATACTAATATGCAATGCTTCTGTGCATCTTATAAATCAAAAGGAATTTATTTGGCTGAAAAATGTACAAATAAATTGACATATATTTGCAAGAAGTACCATATTTAATCCTATGAGGTCACAGAAGATATGAAAATGAAACATTTCTTATCAAACTTTTTTCCTTGGGTGCTTATTTTCTGGAGAAAACATTGCAAATGTTTGCCTTTGCTTGAATAAATTATATTCAAATCCATTCCAGTATCATTCTTTGTCAATGTTTCTGCTAACATATTTATTGCATATTGCATGCATTTTAGAAGACACTATAATAAATGAGTTCTGAATGAAATAATGAGATAAAGCTGATGAGTTCAGGTTAAACCATTAGACACTTAAAAGCTTGACCTATGTCAAGTTCTCTGCTCAACATATTCATCTGTGTGTGTGTGTGTGTGTGTGTGTGTGTGTTCCACAAAGTGTCAAAATGTATTATTAACTGAAAACAGAGATATTATAGTAAAAAAACATGAGTTGTCTGACCACACAAAAACTATAATGATTTTAAAAATTTTGGAATTAGCTATCAGATTGATTTTAATACATTGTCCAATTAAATTCACTATCTAATCCTCCAAGACAACTAACTAGGGGCAAAAGTTTAAGTCAGGTTTTCTTGTAAAGTAATTTGATTTAAAAACTGAAATAGCCAAATTTTCATTTCTTTTCTTTGTATCTTACACAGTTTTTAAAAATACTAGAACTAGACGGTTATTAAGCATTTATTTTAATTCAGCCATTTTAGAAGTTTTAGTGATTGCTGCAATACTGAGGACAACCTGCAAACTTTATTACTAACATTTTGCTCTTTATCTCACTATCAAAAATGTATCCATCTCCTCTCTCACTACTGATTCATTGACACATCTTAAAATTTACGGATTTCAGAATGGTTTCTCTATGTCAAGATAGTTCCCTCATAGTCTTAGAGCATGCTTACCAATGACTAGTTTCATAATCTGTTTACAATTCTTTCTTTGAAGTAATATATATATATATATATATATATATATATATATATATATATATATTCACAAATCTTAACATAGTACTCAGTAAGTCTGTAACTACTGGTCAAATACATACTATTATGATATCCTAGGACATTAATTAAGCCCATTTCAGTAAATCCCTACCATTTCCCAGAGCAAGTTGCTGCTCTATTTCTTTGCAGTATCTAAGCCTTTCCTTTTCTTTGTGAAAAAAAAAAGATTGATAAACATAGCATGTACTCCCCACATAAAACATATTCCCTTAGTGTGATATTTTGAGACTTATTGTTGATAGTGTGTGCGGTGTGCACGTTCAGGCAAAGAGTGATGTCAAGTACTTTTCCTAAGCTGGTCCATGTTTTATTTTGAGTGGCCATGGCAATTCTACCCCTAGGTCAGTATTTTTAAACATATTTTCATCTCTTGGCTCTGAAAAATCTGAACCTTAAAACAGCTTTTGCCTCCAAATTTTAAATAAATAACATCACATTTATATTTGCACAATATACTTTACTAAAGTTGAGTTCTAATTCCTTAAAGAGATAGTGAGAGAATATTGTGTGTAAAAGAGCAATCCCTGGTTATTTTTTTCTTGATTTTACTTTATTTCTTGACTTTGTTGTCAAAACTGTACCTCGACTCAAATATGATCCTTGTAATCCTGAATGAGAATACCATTTCCGTATTGAAAATACATTTGGTCTAATTTTTACACCATATATGCATATAGCATTTCAGGGTACTCATGATGTAGAAAATTATTATCAATTAGTAATAAAATGATGAGATACTGTAAAGTGTTAAAAAACTAAAGACAAAATTTCTACTTGCAAAATATGTTCTTAATCTAAGATTGTGTTCATGCTAAATTATCAGAGTAGAACAGCCACATGGCTGACTGCTAAACTTGGGTTGATTAGACTACATTATAAAGTTCATATTAATGGTCTTTGCCAGGTGTCAGCTTTCTTTTCATCTGAGCTGAACAGCTTTTATAAAACCCTGTTCTGGATTTTTCCTGTTCCAATTCTGGTGACAGGAATTCAGTGAGGACCAGGGGAAGAAGATGAAGAACTTCTCTCACCTTGAGTTCAATGTTTCCATATTTGTTTTTAAATCAGTGGCAGCATGACACATTTCATCAGAGCATTAATTCAACTCTTTTTACTACCTTGGGCTTGTCTCTGATGTCAGGAACTACAACAAGCATCTTATAGCTGTGCATGGAATTTTTTAAGTCTTTCTCCAGCCATTGCCTGTTTATTATTTCCATGCACAGGTCATTCTACCTGAGTCCTCTAGTAGAAGACAGTTAAAGGATCCCATGGAAACAGTGAGTGGTATTTACAGTCCACTCAATGTTTCATGTTCTTTGGGTTATCTTTGTGGTTGACATTTATTTTCACCTTCATTTTAGATAGTAAATATTGTCATGGGCTCAAATTTAATGTTATTTCCTGTGGCCATGCTTTGCTAGAATCACACCAATGTTGCAGTTACAAAGATAATGATCAACCACAACTACACTTGCAAACCTCTCTTGTGCCCCTTCTTTCTTCCCTCCTGTATCTTTTGCTACTTGGTCAGTGGCAATGCTTCAATTCCAAAGCCTTTTGCAATAGTCTCTTATTTTAGGATATAGCATTCTCCCTGTCAATCACCCTCTACTTCTCTCCTATACCACATGGTCACATCAAGGCTCAGGTAAGCAAAAACTATTATTTTAGGTGGTGGTACCTCTATGATTGGAAATATTCAGCAGTGTGCAGTGAATATTGCCTTTTATGCTCATGGAGTATACTTAGCTATTGACTCAAGTCCGATCCAAACAGTGGCCAGGCTCATATCATAATTCAGAGAGGTCCTTTAAAAGCTTATCTCCAGGCCTGGAGAGATGGTTCAGGGGTTAAGAATGCTTGCTGCTCTTCTAGAGGACCTGAGCTCAGTGCCTAGTACTCAAGTCTGGTGGATCACAGCCCCAGGGGAATACACACCTCTGTTTCACAAACAACTGTTTTCAGGTGGACATACCCACACAGACACAGACACACACACAGTTACAGATACAAACACACCCAAGTTTTTTAAAAATAATAAAATTAAATCCTTTCAAAGAGTTAGTCTCCAAACTCTTTGTAGATAATGATAAATGGCCATTGTCTTGAACTCAGGCATGCCAGCATATGCCTGAAATTTCAGCACTTGGGAGGTTGAGACGGGAGAATTACTTCAATTTCATGCACCTCTGGACTTCATAGTAAGCTTCAGGAAAGCCTGATGAATAGTGAAAAAAGAAAAAATAGCGCGTAAATTGTTTGACACTCACTTCCCAAGTGAAAGCTTAGTGTCCAAAGGCTGTATGCTGAGCCCTTAGATGGCCTTACTGATTCCTAGTCTTCTGTCTGGGGACTCGTGTGCCTTTTGTTCTTAGGGAATTCTTATATTTGTCACAGTCCCTCTTCTTTTTGTCCAAGTTTCCTTGGCAGACAGTTACCTAGAGATTAACGAGGTAGACATTTTGCTAAAAAAAACAAAACAAAAAACAACAACAACAAAAAAAAACACACAAGAAAGAGAATCAGTGATATCTCACTGATAATCCATGGAAGTACTTAAGCTTTGGATGTCAAGAACTGACCAGTCAGCCTTGCTGTGATATTTCAGAATGATGACCTAAAGACCCACCCAAACTCACCACAGTTAAACTATTTTCAGCTACCCAGGAGGTGAGGAGCCATAGCTGCAACTCTCTAAGGAAGTTCTTACATTTGCTTAGACGTCCTCTCTAGTGCACTCATATAATACTTAGAAAAAGTATACATTAGGGACTAAAATTACAAATCAAGTTGTATATGCTTTTCTACTCTGGCTTTATAAACATCCTTTTCCCTAAACAACCAGGAAGAATGTGAACATTTTTGTTTAAAATATGTTATCATTGTGTCATATTCATCTGGACACTTCCGTGAAGATATCACTCCTTTGTAAATAGTCACCTAGACAGGGTTGGGTGCTCAGAAGAAACTTCAGTATCCCGTAATCGCATGCTGTCACTTCTTCTCATCCAGGGTGAGTAAACTGCCTGAACAAGGTGAGGATTGCTGCTTGGACATTCTTCTTAGTTCTTTGTGAGAAGTGTGTCTCTCGGTACTGTTAACTCAGTGTGAATACAGAAACGTGGTAGTGTACTTTGTAATGTATCTAGTGAATAACCATGATTAAATCTGCAACCTAGCTTGAAACTGTAAAATGATATTTTTGCATTTGTTAGGAAAAAGACAGGATTGAGTACCCAAAGTATAACTTCAAAATTATTAGACAGCATATCAGAGGTCAAGTAAAACATGGTGTTAAATTAGAATGGCAAGCATTTATACTCTGTCAAATACTTCCTCATCTGGATGGGAGGTACTGGGTGGCTGTTTCTAAAGGACCTTAAAGAAATCCACAGAAAACTGATGAAAGAACAGTCTTAGTAAATTCTTAACAATGTTCTATGGCAGAGATCAATGACAAAAAGGATCTCGGCTGCTTAATTAAAACGATATCAGAATCTTAAGCTCCAGGAAAAAAGTTTAGAGATAGGAGGAATTGCTTTTTGCTGGGTACATTTCTGTGATTCTCTTTACATACAGATACTATTGAGAATAACAATTTTTCCATCAATGAAAGAGTGGAGTATCAAAATACTTTATTAAAAAATACATACACTCATATACAAATGTATATATACATATATAGACATATCCACATACATGCACATGTATATTCAAATGAGACATATAAGTCAAACTCTAAAATTGGCATATAATGTATTAATTTTTTCCCTATTGAACCAAACTATTTTCACAAAAATTGATAAACATTGGTAAAAAAGACATTATATGGTCATGATTAAAAATGTGTACACTATTTGAACTATGTATGGTTTTGTACATATATGCACACAAATGCACACAAAGTAATGGATGTTTATGTAATTGGCAAAATCTGAGTAAATTCCTATGTATTTCACTAATGTTAGTTTCTTGATTTTCACTTGCATTCTAGCTATGTAAGATATCAACACTGGGGAAAATGAAGTCCATAGTATAAATGATTTCCCTATGCTCCTGTTGCTAGTCTATATTAAAAAAAGAAGCTAACAGTATTTTTATTGTCTTGATATAAACATGAGCTAACACCATTTTCCCATCCTTCCTTTTTCAGACCCTCTGTTGGCTCTCTTTCTAAAGCACAATTCTATTTATTATATTGTTTAATAAAAGACTTAGCCCACATCAGAGATGGCGGATGTACTGCTTCCAAATAAAAGTTCAAGGGAGTCATTCTTAATCTAAGTTTCATGTTTTACAGACATTGTACGCATCACACTCAGATGTATATCCCCTTTTGTCATCTTTCCCCAATGATTATACTTCAGAGTAAACTTTCACAGGTAGATTAGTGAAAGCCTCATGCAGAAAAATCCTAACATAAGAAACTAAACAAGGAAACTCAAGGAAGTATCAATGGGGTCAATCTGTTTGCTGTGCTGTGTCCTTGTACATCAGCATCTCCTTGAGATGATTGCTGCTATCCATTCTTATCTAAGTGAAGCTCCAGGGCTGAAAATGGGACTCTCACTCATGACGTTCAAGCCACCCAGAGTTTCTTATCCACTGACTACAGGAAGTTTCTGTTTAGTCCATTCAGGTACAAAGCAGAAAGGAGGGGTTTCTGGATGACTTGTACATAGGAGTAAGCTTGCATTGTTTTGTTCCAGGTACATGCCTTTTAAAAACAGGTAAGCTAAACTATCGTATCAGAAGTCAAGAGAGAGTCCTAAAACACAGAAAGAGAAAGAGAAGTGACTAGAAGGTTAAAAGGATAGTGAATTCCGAAAATGTTTGTTTCTTGGTTTGTAGGCAAAAATTTTAGACAAAAAGTCATATGATTCAATAAAATTTATGATTAATAAAAGTGGATAGCAACATATTTGAAAAGATACCTATATTTCTGTGAAAATGAAATGGACTTAGTCATGAATAAAACATATTTACTCAACTTTCTTATTGTTTTCTATTTCAATAAAGATGTAACTAAATACATTAGTTGAGACTGGCCTTGAACTCTTGATTCTCCCATCTCCACTTTCCATGTGCTGGGAGAACAGGTATGTGTCATCATACTTGGCAAGAAATCAGACTTCATCAAGTTAGAAATTCTAATTTGAAAACTAACATAGCCTCAAGAAAATATCCAATATATAAGGATTTTATCAAGCAAAACCCACTAGAGCTTGTTAGATTTTTCATTATAGTGTTTACAAGAGACTTTACGGCAGGCCAGACGTTTTCATTTTCAGGAAGCCTTCAGGAAAAAAGACTGCTTTGCAACCTGGTGCACCATGGGAAAATATATCTTTTCAGAAGCAGTGAAATGAAAATAAATCTCTCCTTTGGAATGCTTCTTGCCAAGACATTCTACAGTGTTAGCTGTACATGCCTAGGTATAGAAAATACTCCACTACTCATATCTTCAATGGGCATTAGATACCTTTTCCCAGCTCTTTCATCAAGTTTTAAAGATGTAGATATTAAAATCAACATTAATTTGAAATAATTCTATGGGAATTACAGAGAAAGGGAAGTGGACAAAAGAGTAGGGGAGGCAGAGGGAGAGAAAAGGAACATTTGGAAGAATACGTAACTATCTGAAATAGATACAGTAAAGCTCAATATCCTGCTTAGCATCAGTTTGGGTGTTTCTGTAAGTTCTGAGAAAAGTTTTGGGTAGAAAATTTATTTGGAATATATAAAAAATTGGGGTGAGAAGGGGACTATTAACACAGTGAGAAGAAGGCAAACACAATTGTGATTGTTCTTTCTCTTAACCAGTTACTTGGAGTAGGACCCTGCAATGGTTAGCTGATTCTCAGAACTGGGACAAATAAGAGTGTCCACATTTTCTTGCCTGGAGGCCAATGTTGCTGACCTGTATCAAATTCTGAGATACGTTCATAAAGGTCAGCCTGATGATAATTAGTCAGCACTGTGGACTGCCACGTGTGAGAGCATCAAGATTTCCAGCAGTTCTAAAAGAAAAACAATAGCCACCATATATACAGGGGTTCAGACAGTATTTGGCCAGAGTTTATCAGATATTGAAGCAAGATGATTGTAGCAGATAAACTCCGTTTTGAGTGAAGATGAATAGGACGGATGCCATGGTGTGAAAACAATTTAGTTTTCTGTGTACAAAAACGGGAACAGATTCAAATGGAGTTTGTAGTTTAGAAGAATTACAGGCAAGTTTAAAAATGTGTGTCTGTGGAGAGATGGAGGGGAGGAGGAAGGCAGAGGAGAGGTGGGGGTGGGGAGAGCACAATAGTAGTGATGCTGCTTTCATTTTTTTCTGAGTTTTGTCTGCTGTGGTTGGGTTAATACTTCAGGGAACAGAAACACAGAACAAGACATGGATATTCCAACCAGTCTGTACTAAAGAAGGGAAATGTCAACCTAGGAAATGCAAATACAGGTAGGGGTTTGGTTTGAAATAAATTCCGTGTGCTTTGGAGAAAGAGTGGGCATCAAGCTTATGTAGCCTTAGGCAACTTAACGCTATTTGCCCTAGTTTTCTCACTATTAAATTTGGCATCTTCTTGATTAAGCCATCAAAAGCAAGTATTTTGAAACATGATATGTGCTTTGAAATTTGTTGAACACAAAGTAAATAAGTATTTGTTATTATAAAGGTGGAAATTCTGTATGGGATTTTATAATACTAAGTGAATTTATCAATTGGTTTGTACATCTTATCCTTATTTTCTAAACAGATTTTTAGAGACAGCTTTGATGTTCACTCACTGAAAACAAGCTCCCACCCATCTCTTTCTGCTCTAGTGTTTTGTGACAAAATTACAGAGGGAGTTTCCTGTGCTGTGGTTCCTAGGTGATGTTTGAAGCTTGTGGCCTTACTTCTGCTCATTCCTACTGTGCATCAGTGTATCACCAACAGATGATTCAAGAGCATCACTGCAACACACGATGTTCCTTCCTCTTCTAATGCTTAATGTCTCCTCCTTAGCTTCCTGCTCAGCTCTGTGATTCACATCATTCTTAAGCATAAACACGTCCCCTCTGAATCATCCTTGGAGCATCACTTCTCATGGCAGGTACGTGTGCCCCTGTCATAGCAACGATTAAAATAATAACCGGAAATGATGTCTTGTGGATTAAGTAATTTCAGGGCATACTTTCATAAAAGTAAAACAGAAAGTACATAATTAGCATCGGATATTTTTAGACTTTCCCTGATTTAATGTTTTCTGCATTCATTGTTTTCTTGATTCCACATTTTGAAACTTGAACATGGCTTTATGAAGCTAAACCTTGTTTAAACCTTTTCTAACTGAGTTAGGGAGTGGTTTTTGTTAAATTCAGAATGAAACTGAAACTAAATTGATTAACTCGTCAGCACCATGCTTCTAGCATGGGAATAGAGAACGGCAAATACTAGGGACACAACACGTACAAATTTATAAACTTCCTTTCTGTGTTGTGGCCTCTTCACTGATACCTTGTACTGTTGTTAATGGCAGCACTATTTCTGACAATATTCTAATGTTAAGAGAGAATCATGCAATATTGAAGTGTTTCAGCCAATAAGTAACTGACTTTAGATATGAGCTATCATAATGCTGAGAAAACATGAAGTCAAAGAATAGTTTTGTATCATAATTCAAGGTGCTGTGGACTAAATTCAGATCCTCAATTCATACATCAGTGTGGGACCTCCCAATACACCAGGTCTAGAAGCTTTCTCTCTGTTTTTCTGCAGACCTCTACAAGTTGCTAGTCTGATCATGGTCGGCATTCAGACTTGGAGAGAATATATTCCATGACGTTATCCTCTTGACAAGGATGGAATATAATTAATGACAAAGTGGATCTTGACACTATTCTGTTAGATTTCTGTTAGGTACTTACTAGGTTTATACCATAAGAAAATAACATCGTAATTAATCCTTTAGTTTTCTCATCTCTCTAATGCATAATATTTTTGTGCATGATATTGCTGAAAGAAAAAATGTCTATTTAGTAAGCCCACTAAACACCATGACTGCTTGTTGAACTATTCTTACTGTAGAGATAAATTTCACTACTGATTTAAAGAGTCAGTGATAAATGATTCTAATGAGGCAGAAATATGTATGAATAACCTCATCAAAGAGTAAGGTACACCACATCAAAAGATTGCTATTGGGTGGAGTTCTGAAGCCATGTTTTCACTCTCCAGTGTTTCTCTGGAGCAACGTCTGTGCCACCATAGGAAGGATTTGGGTTCTTTCTGTCCATCTTTTATGTTCGTCCTTTAATGTGTTAGTTACTGATCTATGTGTTTGGTGTTTTTCTATAGTTTCTAGGATCACTATGTGGAGGTTGATGTCTGCGATTTTTGGAATAAAATGTCTTTTGCTGACGGTTACTTTGGGAATTTTAATGAAAAACTGTAAGTGTTTCTAGGCAAATCTATAGAAAAAAATCAACATGGCAATGAACTAATTGAATATTTAATTTTTCTAATGTATAATATTTTATTTCATAAATGAATGTCAAACTAAGCAAATCTATATCATATTTTATAGCATTTACTATGCAGAGTATTCAACCAACACTTACTCCAACTTCCACTGTAGAATTCCAGGAAGGTAGGTTTCATTTTTTTCCACAAACTCTATGACTGAGGCAGGACAAGACAGAGTGGTTCATTTTCATGTACAGTAGCATGGTTGCACTCAGTGAAACGGTCTCATGGCATTATGCTGTAGTATAAGAAAAATAAAAATAAAACTGAACTGTGTGCATTTAGATCACTTAAGAAGTATTTTAAACACTGAATAGAGAAGATGTTCACTTTTTCCTCACAGTTTTAGAAGTTTTGGTCTGTGATCAGCTGGGCTTGTTAGTCTTGTAACTATGCTGAATCAATGCATCATGGTGGAAGCATGTGTGGGTGCAGAGCCTCTCATGTCATGGCAAGAAACCAAGGAGAGTAAGAAGAAGATGAATAGGAGGGTTTCCACTCTCTATTCAAAAGTTTACGCCGGTATCCTGAAAAAGAACTATTATATTCTACATCTGAAGGGCTGTGTGACTGCCTCATTGCACCAAATTGGGTGCCAATTTTCTCATGTATGGGCTTTGGGGAAGATTCCAGGTACAGAGTCTAGCAAAACATCATAATAAATTTCACAAAAAGAGAAGATACCAGCCTGAAACGGCAGGTACATGTTTCTTTTTTTTTTTTTTTTTTTTTTTTTTTTGGTTTTTCGAGACAGGGTTTCTCTGTGTAGCTTTGCGCCTTTCCTGGAACTCACTTGGTAGTCCAGGCTGGCCTCGAACTCACAGAGATCCGCCTGGCTCTGCCTCCCGAGTGCTGGGATTAAAGGCGTGCGCCACCACCGCCCGGCAGGTACATGTTTCTTAAGGGTGTTCATGAATAATTAATGAACAAAATTAAATTACAATAAACATTATAGACAAATCTTATTTTGTGTTTGCCAATAACCTATGTTTTCATATTCTTTCCTTTATTCAACTTCTGTGATTCAGAATACAGTGTAGACGTCTCTGTAGTAAACCTTGCTTACCCTCAAGAGATAGCCCCAAACTCTATTTTAATATTCTTTTTCAAATGCTTCTGAAATTTATAACCTTCTGATAATACAGTTAATTTTCTCTTATTTTAACTTACTGTCATTTATATAATAAAGATTTGAGTGCCTATGATGTTTATTGAGTGTCTTGATGTTTATTACTGAGAAAGAAAGGTGCTGAGGACACACTGTTACCCATAAACTGTCTATCAGTCTTGAAGCTAATTGGTTTACTTATCCTTATTTTTAGAACATGTAACAATTCTTTTAAAGTACTTTATCTTTCTCTGACTTAGAGAATTGGTAGGGGCCTTCCCTGTAAGTATCTTTCATCTAGTTAGTCCTATGTTCACCAAAATTCTCAGCTGTGGGTTCATCCTCAAAGTCATTCTTCTGAGTTCTGCTCCATCCTGTTCTCTGCTACATGCTGGATTTCTTTTTTTTTCTCATCTAATTATCACTAGATGTAACAAAGGACAGAAAATGATTTAATTTTGAATCTGTCTTTAGCATATCCTCTCCATGAGGCAAAGTATTTGGATAATTAGTCCCAAAATGTGATGTATATAACATATTCTGAAGTAGCATTTATAGAAAAAAATGCATAGTTAGCAAGTATTTTTTGAATGTCAAGTAACATCAAAGAAGTTGAAATCTGTAATGACATGTTTTGTCTTTTAGTTTCTGAATGCTGTGCTTGCCTAGAAAAGTGGATTGGATATCAATGCAACTGTTACTTCATTTCCAAAGAAGAAAAATCTTGGGAAGAAAGCAGAGATTTCTGTGCCTCTCAGAATTCCAGTCTTCTTCAGCTCAAAACCAGAAATGAAATGGCATGTACTTCATTCTTGTTTCTTACGTTCTTTCTCATTTACTAAAATGTGCTACCCAACTAAGCTGAGCACTCTCATGTAAGTCTTTATCACCAGGTAGACATGGTGGCTCTTGAGACCCTGAGTTTGATGTACCTTGAAATTTTCACTAGAAAGCCTACAAAAAAAACCTTCAAAGATTTGTAGTATAGGAGTATTTTTAAATAGGTTAGGAGCTAATGTATAAAAGAAACCCAACTTTTCCAGAATTAGTAGGCTGTTACTTTTAACTGTGACAAAAGAACCAACAGAGGGACTTTTAATTCTTATTTATTGGAGCAGAATACATAACCTCTTGCAAGTGTTATATGCCTTTTTGCCATCTTTCTGGAATGTAGTGTAGAACCTGCAGAGAATCATATGAATATAAAATCAATCAGATTATGATTGTTGTTATTTAGCATTTCATAGGGGAAGGAACCTAGGAACTGACACATGTCAAGCAAGCATTCTACCACTGTGCTGTATACCCAAGTATCTTAAAAACAATGACTGTGTTTTGAGACAGAGGGAGCTATCCCTGGCTTACATTTAAACTCCCTCTGTAGACAACAAAGTGAAACTCTGCTTCAGTCTCCTGAGCAGGGTTTACAGGCCTGAACCACCAGGTTTCTCCTGGAAATCATTCAGTTCTTATGAAGAAATTCTCAAGCTGTTCTGTAGCTAGAGTTTTCCTGCCTGGCCCACGGTCAGGGCAAATCTCTCTCACCCGCCAGTCCCACAGCCACTCAGACCCAACCAAGTAAACAGAGACTTATATTGGTTACAAACTGTATGGCCGTGGCAGGCTTCTTGCTAACTGTTCTTACAGCTTAAATTAATCCATTTCTATTAATCTATACCTTGCCACATCGCTCGTGGCTTACCGGCATCTTCACATGCGGCTTGTCATCCTGGCGGCTGGCAGTGTCTCTCTGACTCAGCCTTCCACTTCCCAGCTCTATTCTCCTCCTTGTCCCGCCTATACTTCCTGCCTGGCCACGGGCCAATCAGTGATTTATTTATTGACCAATCAGCAACACATTTGACATACAGACCATCCCACAGCACTGTTCTGCTCAGATTGAAGGGGTTCTAAGTATGAGAGTTATCCCTCATGATGTTGTCTTTGGGGTCGCATTTGAGCATTGATCCCATGAAGGAGATCAATGCATCACAGAGTCTCATTCTCTTTATGACAATTTTCATCTCTCAAGAAGCAAGATTTTGTAGTGTTTTTCCACTTGAATCAATGGGCCTGGTAAATGGGAAATTCAAGACATGTGACTACTATGCCTCCCAAATCAGAAGTTCAAAAAGATTTCAATTTGCACACTCACAATCTGAATCTTATGCTGGATGCCTTTTAAAATGTATGTTGTTCTCAAAGTACATTCAGATTTGGTTAATTTGTTCTTTAAAACTCTTCTTGCCTCTAAGCAGAGTTTTATGAACGCCAGTCAAAACTTTTTCTGGATTGGAATGCATTATAGTGAAGAATTGAAAGCCTGGCTATGGGAGGATGGCTCATTCCCCGTAAAAGATCTGTAAGTTTCTGGCTACTGAGGATTTTTTTTTGGGGGGGTACATTTTTGTGAATTTGTCATAGCTGTGACTGCTAAAAACTCATTTTTTCAGGGACTCAGAAGTTCAATATCCTGTGTAGAGCATGAGAATATATAAAATCCCAGAGGGCGAACAGGATGGTAGTCATTGTTCCATCCATAACATTCATGTTCATGCTCAAGTAACATGAGAGTTGTGTAACAGAGACTGTAAGAGAATTTTAGTCTTTTCCTTACTGTCACATAATAGAAAACATCAGATGTGTCTATGCATTCCCAGGTGGTCTCAGACACAGGCATGCCCAGAGAACAAAGCAGGTTTATTTTTATTGTTCTAGATGATTCCACTAATTTTTTTTATCATCTTCAAATATTCAGCAATTATTTTCTGTATAAATATTATCCTTGGATCTCATTCTCATTCACAAGCATGAAATCTAGAGACTCACACAGTGACAAAGTTTATGCTCTTTCCCTCTAGATTAGGTCAACTCAGATTTTCTTTCATACAGTATAATCCGATTGCAGTTTTCCTTATCTCAACTCCTCCCAGATCTGCTCACCACCCCCAAAAGTATCCTGTACAAACCACACTTCAGGGCAAGTCCCATGCCTAGCAGTTGCTGACCAACACAAAACAACACAAAATGAGCTTAGTGGTAGTGAGGGTTTTTTTTTTGTTGTTGTTGTTTGTTCCATAATGCTTTATTGAGACACTTTTTTTCTAACCTTTCGGATCTTTTGTTTATATATTATGCTTTCCAACTTTGATTTATGGGTTTTCTGTGTGTGCTAATCCATATATCTCAGCATATGTGTATGTTTCTTGTGCTTTTTCTTTGTTTCTTTTCTTTCTGTTTGTTTGGTTTTGCCCAACACATACTTCTTAACCAAACAGAAGACCAACATATAATCAAAATCATTTCTGGCCTGGCATAGTGGCACACATCTTTAACTCTAGCACTAGACAGACAGAGACAGGCATATATGTTTGAGTTCAAGGCTGGCCTAGTCTGTGAGTTCCAGGTCAGCCAAAGTTGCATATGAGACCTTATTTCAAAAAACAAAACAGGCCACCTAGCCATTTGTGTGTGATAGAGGTAAAAAACCAACAGAGAAATAACAAAACCAAACCTAGAATCCATTCTCTGGCCTTAGTTGTTAGTGGCCAGTAAGGAAGTAACTGAGTTTTGTGCAGCATTATACTTTAGAACCGTGAAAGCTGTTGGTGAAAGGCAACAAAACAAGACCAAATAAACAAATCCTCAAATTACTCTGTTAGTATTTCACTCAAATGTTATCTCACATTCTGAGTTAATAAAAACAACCTTAAACATCCTTACTGTTTTTCAAATGTTAACAATTTCTTCTTCATTACAGATTGCCAGTGTTCTCAAATACCAAGCCAAGGGGATGTCCTGTTTTTAGTCCAAGCAAAGCTGTTTCCATTGACTCCTGTGAAACTAAAAATGGTTTTATCTGTAAGCAATCGCGTATTTAAATATTTAAGGCAAAGAGTATAGACAAGAAAGGTCCAGGATTACTTAAAAAGTACTTACCTCTGACAGTATTACTATCTTTCCATCTTGAGTTGGTAGAATGTTTCTATGTGCTATCATTTTTATACATTTGAACTCAATTATTTTATGCTTGATGGATTTTTCATACTTGTGTATAAAAACAGGATAACAAGGTACAGAGTTTTTATCAATATTTTGATTTAATGCATATCTGATATATGCTGTGGATCTCGCTCTGTATAAATAAAATGCTGATTGGCCACTAGCCAGGCAGGAAGTATAGGCGGGACAAGCAGAGAAGAGAATTCTGGGAACAGGAAGGCTGAGTCAGGAGATGCTGCCAGCCGCTACTATGAGTACCAACATGTAAGATACTGGTAAGCCATGAGCCATGTGGCAAGGTGATTTATAGAAATGGGTTAATCTAAGATAGACGAACTAGATAACAAAAAGCCTGCCACAGCCATACAGTTTGTAAGCAGTATAAGTCTCTGTGTGTTTACTTGGTTGGGTCTGAGTGACTGCGGGACTGGCGGGTGAGAGAGATTTGTCCTGACCATGGGCCAGGTAGGACTGTAGAAAACTTCAGCTACAGATATAAAATATAATTTTATTTACATATTCTTGTAAAGATTTTTTGGAAACAGTAAATAAAATTTATTCTAAATCAAGTCATATGTATGCTATGATATATATTGCACTGGGGACCTGAGGGTATTCCGCAAGTACAGGGAAACATGCTGGCATGCTGGGCAGATGCAGCAGTGGGCTAGTGGGTGACCCATGCCAGCATGACAGTGGGGTGGTGAGTGAACTTTCACAACCCAGACACTGCATCCACATGGAAATAAGTTTACTATAACAGAGAGATGAAGAGAGGAAGAGGGGGGGGGGTCAAGGGTGCACACCTCATGGGAAGAAAGGCAGAAGAGAGGGAGGAAGAGGAAGGGTTTTTCCTTAAAATGAGACTTTTACATCAGGACACAGGGTGGCACCAAAGGGTGAGTCAGAATACTGACATTGGTTTCCAATGGGTGGGTCAGAATATTAACATTCCTCCATTTTGATTATTATAAAAAAGGTGAGTTATGGATAGCAAGTGGGGGAACAAGGACGCTGAATTCCTGCGACTGCTTCAAGCTGACAAGGGGCGAGGTGGGGAGGGGGAAGCCGGAGTCACGCGTGGGGGGAGGTGTGAGTGAAGAAGCACAGTTGGCTGTCACTGTGGAGATCTCAGATGTGGAGATCTTAGGTGTGTGTTCCTTGAGGTTGCTAGGAGAAAAAATAGATTTTTTCCATTGGCCTTATGTGATGGGCTGGCCATGGAAAGAGTGATAACTGTCAGAAAGAATGGAACAGAGAAGTGCCCTGATTGTACAGAAGAGGCAAGGGTGAATGAGTAACACATGAGAGCAAATATGCTCTTTATGGGGACATCATGGAAAACCAGGTTCTAGTTGCTGGGCAGGTGCCTACCTGAGCCTAGAGAGGTGGTACTGGCAGTGAATTGAGGGATGATGTGCGATGATGTGTTCTTTAGGAGTACAGAAGCCATCACATCTGCCATTTCTCTGGAGGTGGGGGTGCATCCATCCCAGTTGGTGTCCTTGGAGCTGGTGCCAGCTGGTGCAGGGGCTGGCATATCAGGGAAGCCCTTTGGCCCAGGCAAGAGGAAAGAAATTGCAAAATGTGCTTGGCCTAGGCAAGAGGAGAGAAATTGCAAAATGTGCTTGAAATGGGTGAGGTCAAAAAATGGGTTTTGGAGACTGCTAGTTTTCATCAGACCAGATTTCTTGATACAGTAGCAGAACTTTTCCCAGAAGCCTGTAGATATCTGTAAGATTGCTGGAATAGATAGTTATCATAGCAAAAGGGTTAAAAATCAATTTAAGGACTCTTAAGAACTCTTTGTAATCAATGTTTTATCAGTTTATTTTATTTATCAATACTAAAACTTTGAACCTCTGGGGTTATATCTGAAACCAGTTTATCCTGTGCCATGAAGTCTGTGAATAAGGCATACTTGTCTGTAATTGGAGAGCATACACACACACACACACACACACACACACACACACACACATATAAATATATATATATATATATAATCTTGGGACTGGGGCTATTAAATTGATACCCTGGTCATTAAACATTATCAAATCTGAGAAGGATAAATTTAAGAAGAAGTGAAACAGCTTTCCAGCTACCTAGGCAGCAATCCCAAGTCTCTTTGTAGTCATTGGGGGACAGAAGCCCCAAAGGTAGCACTTGTTCATCTGATAGGCACAAAAGATCTGACAGATTTTTTTTTTCTGTAGAGTAGAAATTTGGGAAGGTCATCTTACCTGTCTTGGCAGAGAGGACAATTGATCCCTATTGCTCCTCTTATTCACAGTCCGGACAGGATCTCAGCTTTTTGCTGTGTGCTGTGTGGCCAGCCTTGCCATAAGCTTTCGGGTGGAAGTTCTTCTGAAGCCATTCATCTTCTTGGAGGAGATACAGGATGCTGCCAGGAGCTGACATGTCTCTCTGTCATCAAAAGCTTTTATACTAAATGCCATATTCTTAGATCTCAACGGGTATTTAAGGACTGGGGGAACAAAATCTGTTAAATGTATATACGTAATTTTGAGAGCATATATATAACTTTGAGAGCATATATAAAAATTAAATCTGAATATACAGGTTTACCAGTTGGTCACAGCCTAAAAAAGTCAGTAAGGACAAGGAGACCTACATTCTTTTTTTTTTTTTTTTGCTTTCCTTTTTTTTTTTTTATTTTGCAATACAATTTAGTTCTACATATCAGCCATGGATTCTCTTGTTCTCCCCCCTCCCGTCCCCCTCACCTTACCCCCAACCACCGCCCCCCCATTCCCATCTCCTCCAGGACAAAGCCTTCCCCACAGACTGAGGTCAACCTGGTAGACTCAGTCCAGGTAGGTCCAGTCCCCTCCTCCCAGGCCGAGCCAAGCAATCCTGCATAGGCCCCAGGTTTCAAACAGCCAACTCATGCAATCAGCACAGGACCCGGTCCCACTGCCTGGATGCCTCCCAAACAGATCAAGCCAATCAACTGTCTCACCCATTCAGAGGGCCTGATCCAGTGGGGACCCCTCAGCCATTGGTTCATAGTTCATGTGTTTCCATTCATTTGGCTATTTGTCCCTGTGCTTTATCCAACCTTGGTCTCAACAATTCTCGCTCATATAAACCCTACTCATTCTCGCCAATTGGACTCGCAGAGCTCCACCCAGGGCCTAGTCATGGATCTCTGCATCCAGATCCCTCAGTAGTTGGATGAGGTTTCTAGCACAACAGTTAGGGTGTTTGGCCATCCCATCACCAGAGTAGGTCAGTTCGGGCTGTCTCTCGACCATTGTCCATGGTAAATGAAGACCACATGAGAATAGGAAGAAGCAAAGTGCTAGAGAGGCCCACAGAAATCCACAAAGATACCCACACAAGAGACCTACATTCTTAAGCCTGAATAGATCCTGATCAAGGGGAGACATTTTTTTTTTTAGCCCTTGGCAGTGATATCAGAATCTATTATATATTTTTAAGGCCCTGGATCTGTGATTCTGATCTTTGAGTACAGCCAGATTATAATCCTGAATTATTTATATTGAAATAATAATTTCTTAAGGTCATACACTACTTCCCTGGTTCTGCATAAAGAAGGTCAAGTGTCCCATCTTACTGCAAGCCCATTCTAGCCAACAAATATCAATTGACAATATTGAGTCTAGTTTCCTGGTATGACAATGGGCATTAGATAGCCAATTCGGTCCCCTATGCGAGGATTTCCATCCTTAACCTGGCCCCTAGCCTGTGGGGACCTGCCCCACCAGGAACTTAGGTCACCTGTGAAGAGGTGGCCTGGAACCAAGGAAAGGCAAGTGTGCGTGGCTCCCCTGTTCCCCAGCCTCCCTCTTACCCGGAGACAATCAGACGCAGCAGTGGGGAGTCAAGTCAAGCAAGAACTCGTTTATTGATAGGCAGTAAGCCCCTTTTATACCAGAAAACCTCAGAACCCTAGGAGGGGATGAAGGAATCAACCAATCATTTTAAAGATCACCCTATTTACAAGTTGTTTATGCCCTGACATCATCTCCTGTTTTTAGCGTAAATAACTTGAGCTAACTTCCTTTCTCACTATTTGTCTTTAGTCTCCATACAAACAACCCAAGTTAACTTTCTTTTAGCCATCCTTTGTATCTATTCTCCACACAAACAATTTAAACTAACTTCCTGTGGTACCATTTGTATCCACTCTCTGCACAAATAGCATAAAGCTTAAGCTCTATTTATCTAAATTTCTTTCGGCACCCTCTTTGCAGCCCATGTATGCCCCACACTAGTCTGTCCTAGGAGCAGGGAGCACAGGACAATGTATTCTTCATAGCTGCTTCAAGATGAAATGGGCCGCAGGGGTTCAGGACTCCAGCTAGTTAAAGGTAAAGAGGGAACTGAGGAAATGGGGTATTTATCAGAAGTATGTGGTCTTCTGACATAGCTATAGAGACTAGGAGCAATTATGTTTGGCTGGACTGGTCCATGCCACATAGACACGAGTCTCTGCTGGCATCCGTAGCAGGGAACGCACTGTAGGTTGTGGTCCACAACTGCTGCTTTGATGTTTCTGCCAGCCTGCTGAAATATAAACTTGAGATGAGAGTCAAAATTTATGAACTTATTTGGAACCTTTTGGCCCATGGTCTTGGTGATTGGGAAAGGGAGACCAGGAGGGAGAGAAATACCATCCTCAGGAATAGACATGTGAGGAAATTCTTTTATCTGGAGCTCATTTGACCTCTGTAAAGTGGATCCAATGGATTCTTTTGATTCTGAGGCTTATATGAATTTTCATTTTATAAAAAAATAATAAAAGTTTCAGATAAATTAGTATTATCAATCAGTACTGAAATCCATATCATAATAGAGCAGACAAAAGTATCTGCAAAACAACAGAAGTAGACTCATACCCTTGAGTTTTGGCAGAATTACAGTTTTGCATTAAAAACTATTTATATTCTGAATCATTTCCTAAAAACTGTTCCCAAGGAAAGGTTCAAGATCTCTCAAATGTCTTCTTGCAATATCAAAAATAAAGTACATGGCATTTTAAAAAGATTTAAAATCTCTTAAGCATCACTATTGCTACATTATCCCGGCATAGGAGCATGCCACCCCAGCCCACAACTGAGTCAGGCAATGAAGCGGGCTGACAAGTTGCCTATATTACCAGCATGTGGGGAGGATGGGTCTCCAGGCCCCACCTGCTCAAGCCTGAGAATGGCCACTGGGGAACGCAAAGCCAAGACTGGAGGACTTTCCTTGGCCTCTAAAACAGTGCTCTGTGTGAGGCAACTTTCCTGGCCTCTTCCCGGTGCAGATAGCCTGAGTGCCAGGTGCCTTGCCCATGCTAAACCACAGAGAGTGACATTTTGCTGCCCTTAGTAAAGATGGTGATGAGGCCATA